TGAAGGGTCATTATGGCATGAGGGCATCACGACCATTAGCATATTGGCTGTTTATTATATAGAATGTGTGATAGCATTTAGGGTCCATCTGGATAATCCAGTATTATTTCCTCATCTGAAGATCTTTAACTTAATCACATCTGCAAAGGCACTTTTTCCTTATAAAGAAACATTTAAAAGTTTCAGGTATTGGGACCAGATATCTTTGGGTAGCCATTGTTCAGTCCTCATAGCAGGTCATTGAAAGGGCCTTTGGGTTGAGGTTTGATGAAGGGTTTAGATAATGACAGAGCAAAAGAATGAATATAATATATATTCCAACTGCTTTGGCCACTTGAAATTCCTGCTTATAGTACTAAAATCAATCTGTGACTCTAATTGAGTTTTAAACTCAATGGGAAATGAAAATTACGTATCCTCATTTAAATCTGTTACATTGTGTAGGGCAATAACATGCATCCTACTGGGCAGTGAGTAAAAGGAGGCATATTCACCAGCTGGTGTGGCTCAGTGGCTGATCATTGACCCATGAACCAAGGGGTTGCCGGTTCAATTCCAGGTCAGGGCACATGCCCAGGTTTCAGGCTCAATTCCCAGGGGGACATGCAGAGGCAGACGACCCATGTTTCTTTCTCATCGATGTTTCTATCTCTCTATCCCTCTCCCTTCCTTTCTCATAAAATCAATAAAAAATATGTTTTTAAAAGGAGACATAATCATGGCTTTGTATTTTTTTATAACCTCAACTGCACATATACCTCTTTTTGCATTTTAAGTAACGGTTGTGATCCCTTTAGCTACTCTGTACTAACCAAATGTAGAAATCTCCTTCCTAGTCAAATAAAGAGTGATGTTTCAAGCAGATTTCTCTGGTTAGAGGTATAGACATTCTAGAAGCAAGAACAAAAGAGAGGTGATATATGCTGTAAGAAAAATGGGCTGGTTGTGAAAGTGTTTTTTACCCCTGCTTCACTATTAGTAAAAATCACAACAGTATTTACTATTTATAGAGGCCTGGTGCATGAAATCTGTGCACGGGTAGGGTCCCTAGGCTTGGCTGGCGATCAGGGCCAATCTGTGGAGTAACCAATGGGGCAATTGGGGTTCTCCACTAACCCTCCTTGGCTGGCCTGCTGCCGCCCGTTTGCCAGCCCTGCCTCCCACTGCCACAGCCAGTTGGGGCCTGCGGGCTGGTAGCAGCTCCGGCATTGAGCATCTGCCCCCTGGTGGTCAGTGCACATTATTACAACTGGTCATTCTGCCAGTGGTTACACCATTCAGTTGATTTGCATATTAGGGTTTTATATAGATAGGTATCTATAAATCAGAGTCATGATTTTCCTTCCAGGGGAGAACTAATCTCATTAAACTTTCACTGGTTGGGTTAGAACTGGTCCCTGCTTTGCCATAATTTCACTGCGTGCCACAGGGATATGCTTTTCTCCCATATGATATATAGTGCTCAGCCTAAATAAAAGGTACTTTGTTCGTTTCTGTATTTTCCTTTAAGGAACATTTTATACAGAATTGTGAAATATAGAGTAGCCTGTGCTTCTCTGAAAAAGAATTAAAAATAGATGCTTACTGAAATTACTAGGTAGAGATTAGGAATGAACACAAAGTCAACATACTTGGTATTAATACTCATTATCAGCTGTGACTTAGAGTACTTAAAACTAATTGGTTCTGTTGAGATGTTGGAGTTTGTGTCCTCAGGTAACTTAGGAAGGCTTCATGGAAGAAGGGAGATTTGAGAAAATACTTTAAATAACTACATTCTTCAAATGTAGGGGTGAAGAAGGGTTCATGTAAATAGGAAAAAAGGATTTTAGGAGGACTAGGAATTAGAGACATCTAGCAAGGAGTAATAAAAGGTAATTAGGCATGCCAGGACCAGAAGGTAGTAAGTCTGTTCAATAATTTCTAGTGTAATAATTCAAACTTTTAGGTTCTGATATTTTTGTGTACAGAGTATAAAACATACCTTATTTAAAAAAATTTGAGCACTTAAATCAAGTTATGAAATGCAGTCTCTTAATAAAAATAATGTAAAAACACTATCAACAGGTCACAGTCTCCTTTATAAGTAATCCTCTTGTCTTAGGTCTTGCATTTCTTAATAATAGGGGCCTGTGTTCTTGTTGGAACACTTTAGTGAATTTGGTATTAAGACATTTGTTTGCTTTTTTTCCCTTTTCCCTGACAGCTTAGGAAAACCATGAAACAGGCACGTCACCAGCTGGCATCCTTTAAAACTATGAGTCAAAAATATGCAGCAGTGTTTCCACATGATACAAGGAAAAGCTGTCCCGCCCAACAGGTAAATTAATTTCTAATAATTTTTTAATAAAGATAAAAATATAGATAAAGATTTATTTATATCTAATTTCAACATTATTTACAAGTGTAAAATAATTGGAAATAACCTTAAATATCCAATAGCAGGGAATGGTTAAAAAATTATGATACATCTATATATAGCCATTCTAAAAACTATCATGATTTCAAAGAACATCTGAAGGCAAGGGAAAGTGTCTGTGAGGTAAAGTTTAGTGAAAAAAGTAGGATACAAAATTATATACAATATAATCTCAATTTTAAAAATTCTTTCAATAAATATTTATGGGACATCTATAAATGCCAAGACATTGTGTTAGAAGCAGGTGAAAAGATGGACAAAGATCCCTCAAGGAGCTTCTGTGCTGTGGGAAGGCATATAATAGATATCTATTATATTCTATACAGAATATAATTTCTAACAGTAAGTGCTATGGAAAAAATAAAGTAAAATAAAGAGATGGGGAGAGAATGCTATGTGCATAGACAAAAGCCTAGAAAGAAATGGATCAAGAAGTTAATACCGATCATTTCTGCGTAGTTGTATTACAGGTGATTTTTATTTTCTTCTCTTGGTTTTCTTTACTTAAAATATTTTCTATAATGTATATATTTTGCTTTCTAATTAGGAAAAAATACCGTTATTTTTTAAAAAGAAAGAAATTGTTTTGATTCAACAGATAACATAAGAATGAATAATTGGAACCCAAATGTGGAGCTAAACTGAAAAGGATATTTAAGGCTATCCTTGTAAAATAACACTGTTTTGGTGCCTACTTATGTCAGTGTTCACATATTTGGATGCTAAACTCCTTTACTTTCCTTTGTTTACATAATTTTGGGATTAATTTCAAGTTTTGGTAGGCAGCATCTCGAAAAATGGACCATTAGGCTTTTTTACTTTTTATTTTTGCTACCATAGACTCTGTTTTATTTAGTTCTTCCTCAGTTTTGCTTCCTAATTAGTATTCTTTTATATTTTCCTAGATTATATGTACATATTTTATTTTTGTATTTTTTTCTTAAGTATCTCAACAGTCAAAAACACTTGTCACTTATATGTTTGCAGTTGGTAGAATACTAAACTATACTGTCTTCCGTCCCAGTGTTAAGAAATTTATAGTTAAATATCAAAATACAAGTGGGCAGCGGTGTGTATCCATATATGGCATTCCATCTAGTTGCATTCATACTGGTTGCCTTTTCCTAAAGAGCATTGCCGTATTAAGACTCAAGGTAGAGTTTCTTTTGTGCCTAAATTCTTCTCAGTGGCTTGGTATCTTGACACTTTCCATACCTACCCTAGATTTGGACTGACTCCAGGGTCCTGTTAGAAAGAGGCAATTGGACACATTCTAATAAACCAGAGAAAAAGGGTTATTTGATTCTAGAGATTGATAATTTATTTTGTGTGGAACATGTTCAAACTGCTCAATTGTTTTTTCCCACAAAGAGTACTGTTCACAGGGCTGACTGAGATAATTATCCAATAGCAGGAAGGAGGATGAAGCCTGAGATCCTTGGATAAGCCAGTTGATACGTCAGAGATGCCATTTAAGTGTAATACGTTATGATGATGATGATGATGATGATGATGATGAAGAATTCAGGCTGCTGCTTGATTTCAAAGAATTCATGTGTATTTTTCAGGTGTAACATCAGAAACAAATCTGCATATAATTGAGAGTGATTAAGAAATTCGTGAAGTTTTTCTTATCACTTATTTCAAGTATGTAATCTTTCCCTCAGGCCTGAAGTTTTCTACCATCTCAGTTATCTGAAGTGGAAATCTTCCAGTCAGAAAGGAGAACCATTTATTTGAATTCTGGTTTCATTTCCTTGTTAGATTTATTTTTACTGACATGAGAATCTGTCTGGTGGTTATTGTTGTTCCAGACCTGGAGCTTTAAGCAGAAGATATACTTGCTTCTGCTGTCAGGTCACCAAGACAAAAATCATAAGCTTTCTGAAATTGTTACTGGCATCTTTTTATGTGCTTATTGCCCATTTATGTATTTCTTGTGGAGAAAATGTCAGTGTGATACTGCTTCTTAATTGGGTTATTTGTCCTACTATTAAGTTGTAAGAGTTCTTTATATATTCCCAATACAAATCAGATACATGATTTGCAAATATTTTCTCCCATTCTGTGAGTTGTTGTCATTTCACTTTCTTTTTTTAAAAATATAGTTTATTGATTTTTTACAGAGAAGAAGGGAGAGGAATAGAGAGTTAGAAACATCGATGAGAGAGAAACATCGATCAGCCGCCTCCTGCTCAACTCCCACTGAGGATATGCCCGCAACCAAGGCACACGCCCTTGACCGGAATCGAACCTGGGACCCTTGAGTCCGCAGGCCGACGCTCTATCCACTGAGCCAAACCAGTCAGGGCCATTTCACTTTCTTAATGCTATCATTTGCAGCACAGAATTTTTTATTTTGGTGTGTCTAATTGATCTAGTTTTTTTGCTGTTGTTGTTGCTTGTGCTTTTGGTGTGGTATCTAATAAGCCATTGTTTAATCAGAGGTCCTGAATATTTCCTTCTATATGCTCTTCTAATAATTTTATAGTCTTAGCTATTACATTTAGGTCTACGAACCATTGTGAGTTAATCTCTATATGTGGTGTGAGGAAGTGTTCTAACTTAATTCTTTTGAATATGGATATCTACTTGTCCCAACACCATTTGTTAAAAAATTATTCTTTTTTTAAAATATATTTTATTGATTTTTTTAGAGAGGAAGGGAGAGGGATAGAGAGTTAGAAACATCGATGAGAGAGAAACATCGATCAGCCGCCTCCTGCACACTCCCCACTGGGGATGTGCCCACAACCAAGGTACATGCCCTTGGCCGGAATCGAACCTGGGACCCTTGAGTCCGCAGGCCGATGCTCTATCCATTGAGCCAAACCGGCCAGGGCTGAAAAATTATTCTTTCTCTATTTAATTGTCTTGACATTTCTTGAAAAATAGTTGACTGTATTAGTAAGTGTAAGAGTTTAATGTTGTGTTCACAATATTGTCTTTGGAGATCCATGAAGATGAAATCATTTTAGATCTTCTTTAATTCATTTCAACAATATTTTATAGTTTTGAGTGTACATTTTTGCACTTACTTTATAATGTTCTGTTTTTGTAATATTGACTATACTAACCTACTAAAATTGTATTAGTAGTGTGGTAAAGCCTAGGATGTTATTCCAGTCACATTGTTTCTACCTGTAATAGATACATTTGGATTTTTAAAATTTTATATAGACATACTTTTTTCATTTTTGTTTGTGTGTTCTTTAGGAACCTGACTCTGAGGAATCTTCATCAATTACGATAGACAAGAAAGGTGAAGAAAAATTGTTTTGGAAGAACCAACAAGATTTCTTTTCTGAAGAGAAGAACAAAGCTTTCAGCAGAGTTCAGGTAAAGCAGAGTGAAAGGAGTTAGTATAATAGAAATTAAACTAAAATGACTTAGACTAGGGATGCCAGTACTGTTGTACTGGTTTGGGATTATAGATTTAGGTTACGTGGAGCAAAGTCTATAATTTCACATTTTATTCTAATAATTTGTTTGACTACCATATCCTTTTAAGATTATTTTAAGAGTCTCTGGAAAACCTATATTTGATGTTTATGTTCACTTTTAGAAAATACAATTCAAAACTCCATTATATGCTGTAATAGAAGAGGAACAGCTAAATGAGTTACAGGATATTCTGCCAGAAACCCAGGATTATCTTTCAGAAACCCAAGGTGATCTGCTGGAGACCCAGGGTGATCTAACAGGAGTGCGGAGTGTTGAGCTGGAAGCCCAGAATATTGAGCCACATTCCCAGGCTGTTGAGCTGGCAGGCCAGCCTATGGAAGGCCAAGTTGTTGAACCCAAAGCCCAGGCCATTGAACTTAAAGTCCAGGTTGTTAAGCTAGAACCTCAGAGTCTGATGCTAGGAGCCCAGAGTATTGAACTAGAAGATGGAAATATGTTGGAAGTCCATGATTTTTTATCCCCAAATCAGGCTTTTCTACCCAAAGACCAGAACATTCTACCCAATGACCAGAATATTCTACTCAAATGTCAGGACCACCATATTCTACGCAAAGACCAGCGTGTTTTCCCCAAAGACCAGGATATTCAACCCAAATATCAGGACCAGGATTTTATACCCAAATGTCCAGACCAACATATTCTACGCAAAGATCAGCATGTTTTCCCCAAAGACCAGGATATTCAACCCAAATATCAGGACCAGGATTTTATGCCCAAATGTCCAAACCAACATTATATACCCAAAGACCAGCATATTCTTGCTAATGACCAGAATAGTATACTCAAATTTCAACACCAGCATTTTCTACCCAGAGAGCACTGTGTTCTCACCAAAGATCAGCATGTTTTCTCCAATGAACAGAATACTCGATGCAAATATCAGGACCAGGATTTTCTACCCAGATATCAGGTAAAATGGAGTGGGAAGGAGATAAAGCAAGAAGAAATAAGCTACTTAAGGTGTGGAGTGGGATTTGCAGGGACTAGATTGCAACTAATTTGGAGATTCATAGTTGGAAAAGGTAATATCCTGGTTGATTTCTAAAAGCTCTGGAGTTCTCATTAAGTCTTAAAGTAATATCAACAGCATGTTACCCCTGTCTGGACAATTTACTGTTTTTATAAAATATATATTTTTTATTGATTTCAGAGAGGAAGGGAGAGGGAGAGAGAGAGATAGAAACATCAGTGATGAGAAAGAATCATCGGTTGGCGGCCTCCTGCATGCCCCCCACAGAAGCCCACAACCCGGACATGTGCCCTTGACTGGAATCAAATCCGGGACCCTTTAGACCACAGGCTGATGCTCTACCACTGACCCAAATCAGCTAGGGCTGGACAATTACTTTAAATAAAATCTTTATTAGGGAAACTATTTCTGGCAGCCATAGTCTGCTTTGACAGCTAAAGATGGGCGAAGATGTGGCCCACAAGTGTCCAGTAGTATCTTTTACCAGATTACAAGGCCAGCCCTCTACTAGAGATCAGTTAGACAAAAAGGAAGAAGTAAGGGATTGACAGGAATTACTTAGGGGTGTGGCTGGGCTAATGTGGAATAGAGTATAGCATTTTGCAGCAGGAACTGAGTTGTTTAGGGTTTAGTTTGGAGCTTGCAAAAATTGTTCTCAGCTAGATTGGACAAAAAGTTTGGTTTTCTCTTTTATTCCATAGTATCCTGAGTTTGTAAAATTACCATAAAGTTCACAATAAAGCTCAGAATGTTATTGCTATCATATTACTCCTACTAGACAATTTACAGTTTCTATTTATTTTCTTTTAGAAAGTCCGCTTCAAGGAGCCATATTCTGTTATAAATGAGAAAGGGAGAGATGGCTTTTCTCTGGCAGGTTATCAGTCTCCTATTCCTAAAGTCCAGGACCAGGTGTGCATCAGAAATCAGGTAAAGCAAAATAAGAAAGAGATAAATGGGAAATAAAGTGCTGTATTTTAGACATTCTCAACAACTGGTAATGTGAAGAATAGAGTAAGGTGCAAAGGTCCCTGATCTAATGAACTCTATCAGTCAGATCAGTTCTGTGATTCAGAAGGCTGATAAACCATGTTCAGATTCTTGTTTTTGTTGTTAATCCTCACCTGAGGATATTTTTTCATTGATTTTTAGAGAGAATGGAAGGGAGGAGGAGAGATAGACAGAGAAACATTATGTGAGAGAGCCACATGGATTGGTTGCCTCCGGCACGTGCTCTGACCAGAGCTAGAGATTGAACTTGTGACGAGGTATGTGCCCTCGATCAGAATCAAACCCGGGACTCTTCAGTCCACGGGCTGATGCTCTACCCACTGAGCAACACCAGCTAGGGCTGGACAATTTACTTTTATTTCCATTCACCTGAAAATTCTTTTTCCATCCTTCACCATTAGTCTGAGTCCTTTGTTCTGAAGTGGGTTTCCTGGGGACAGCAGATATATGGGTCATGTTTTCTTATCCACTCAGCTACCCTGTGTCTTTTGATTGGGGCACTTAATCCATTTACATTTAAAGTTATTATTGATAGGTAATTGTTTGTCACCGTTTATATTCTTTATGCCTGTGTTCCTTCTTCCCTTCTTAATTCATTCCAGTAGCAAGATTACAGTTATGAAATAGCAAAGAAAATAATTTTATGGTTGGGGGTCATCACAACCAGAGGAACTGTATTAAAAGGTCACGGCATTAGGAAGGTTGAGAACCACTGCTTTAGCGTTTCTTGCATTGCTGGTTTGGTGGTAATAGACTCCCTTAGTCCTTTTTTGTCTGTGAAGCTCCTAATTTATCCCTCAATTTTGATTGGTAGCCTTGCGGGGTACAGTATTCTTAGATTGAGACCATTGCTTTGTATGATTTTGTGTATTTCATTCCATTCCCTTCTGGACTGATTTGTTTCTGTTGAGAAATCAGTCGATAGTCTGATGGGAGATCCTTTCTGTCTCTCTCTGGCAGCCTTTAAGATTCTAACTTTGTCGTTGGTGTTTGCCACTTTAATTATAATGTGTTTTGGTGTCAGTCTTTTGGGGTTCATCTTGTTTGGGACTGTGATCTTCTTGGACTTGTGTGAGTTTTTTCTTCCCGATATCAGGGAATTTTTCTGTCAAACAGGTTTTCTATTCCTTGCTCAGTTTCTTTTCCTTCTGGCACCCCTATTATGCGGATGTTGTTTCATTTCATGTTGTCCCAAAGTTCCCTTAGGCCAGGGGTGGGCAAACTTTTTGCCTCGAGGGCCACAATGGGTTCTTAAACTGGACTGGAGGGCCGGAACAAAAGCATGGATGGAGTGTTTGTGTGAACTAATATAAATTCAAAGTAAACATCATTCCATAAAAGGGTACGGTCTTTTTTTTTTTTTTAGTTTTTTTCATTTCAAACGGGCCAGATCCAGATCCGGCCCGCGGGCCGTAGTTTGCCCACAGCTGCCTTAGGCTCTCCTTCTGTTTTTTAAGTTTTTTTTCTAGATGCTGCTCTGCTTGGGTACTTTTTCTTACCTTGTCTTATAGCTCACTGATGTGGCCCTCTACTTCTTCTAGTCTACTGTTGATGCTTTCTATTGAGTTCTTTAGTGCAGTGATGTCATTTTTCATTTCTTCTGGTTTCTTCTGCATTTCCTCTTGGTTTTTACACATATTGTTGAATTAGTCTTCCATCCTTTTCAGTGTTCTTATGACCATTGCTCTAAATTCTTTGTCTGACATATTGCTTGCCTCCATTTTGTTTACTTCCTTTTCTGGTGTGGCCAATTTACTTTTAAAAACAATATTAGGAAAACTATTTCTGGCAGCCATAGTCTGCTTTGACAGCTGAAGTTGGGCGAAGGTGTGGCCCACAAGTGTCCAATAGTATCTTTTACCAGGCTCCAAGGCCAGCCCTCTACTAGAGATCAGTTAGACAAAAAGGAAGAAGTAAGGGATTAACAGGAATTACTTAGGGGTGTGGCTGGGCTAATGTGGAATAGAGTATAGCGTTTTGTTTTATTCCATAAGATGTTCAGTTATTCTCTGACTGCAGAAAATTCCAGAATTCTCACTATAGCCTAAAGTACTATTGGTTAACATGTCTTTCTAACTGCACAATTGCTATTTTGTGTTTGTTCTGTTTTAGAAAGCAAGTTAAAGCAGCCAGCATCAATTTGGATAGGTAGGAGAGGGAGAGAGGTATTTTCTTTGGATGTCCATCAAAATCAGGCCTCCATCAGACATGATAG